ATATATATATATATATAGATGAATGATATCTCGAAAGGTTTTTCAATGTAATAATAATTTTATTTAAGCAAATGAAAGAAACTGCTGTCGGAAATAATAAATTGAAGCTTACTCCAGAGTAAATATGCTAAAACATGCACGTGTTGACTGATGTGACAACGCATTTGTTCAACATATTATACGTTTACAGTGTTTTCTTATAATATTTATAGTAGCCGAATTCATCCGTGCCTTGCGTGAGCGCTTCCCGTCAAATGACGTCGGTGCTCATCTGAGACTGAGCCCCAAAACATGAAAAAATAACGGACGACATTTTGGAAAACTGTCCAAAAACAAAACAGGTTTTTAGTTTCTTACAAACGATAAAGTCAGTGGCGTAACCATGGGATTGAGGCCCTGTGACTTTCTGAGAACAGGGCCCTTTTTAGGTCCAGGTCGCCAATTCCATTGTGGGATTCTAGATGTGCTCGCTTTTTTAATCATGTTTGTCATTGCATTATTTTTTCTATATGTTTTTAACTACGAAATAAAGGATACCGTATGATATCTGTGGCAGATCCAGGAATTTGGAATAGAGTGAGGGGGTAGAGGGAAGGATGGAGGGTCTTCAGCCCCACCATGGTTGGGACTGAGGTAAGACGATTTATGATTACAGATGTCCGGAAATGGCACTCAGACTTAAATTTGAAAATTTTGGGGCCGTTTACTCGCCACTGGATATAATATGATATACAGTCGATGTCAGAGACACATTATACTGTTATGTATTAACAAAACCCTTTTGGGTCAGGCTGCTAGATTGAGGACAATTTGATTATGGCTTTGGGGCCCCTAGGGGTCGGGGCCGTGTGGACCGCCGAACGAGAGCGCATTGGCGTTACGCCACTGCATGTTAATTCCTTTCTGTTGATATATGTGTCTTATGATCTCTCTATTTGGTTATTTTTTTTCTAATTATTAAACATAAATCATTGCGGCAGGAAAAATACGCACTCTCATATTTTGATTATTTGTGTTTCAATAGGTCATTTCCGACAGTCTAACCAATTCCAAACGACAGACGGTTGCGCAACAATTCCTTCAATCAGAATCTTCAGACAGAATGTGTAGTGAGTGGAAATATATATATATATATATATATGTGTAGTGAGTGGAAATATATATATATATATATATATTCTCTATATATATATATACCCTATATATATATATATAATCTCTATATTTATATACCCTATATATACCCATATACCATATATATACCCATATACCATATATATATATATATATACACATCTATATTTTGTTATTGCATACACGATAAATAAGTGACCAATAACCTTTCTGTATTGTTCTTTGTGTATTAAAAATACATATTTCTTGGTGTGACCTTCGCCCTGGCGGATGACTAAATCCGGGCCCGTGGTATCAGGATGATTTCCAAACGAAAATAAAGATGAATGTATATGCGGTAAGTCATTGAAACGCAAGCGTTGGGGAAAAAACATTAGATTTCCACAAAAAGTTTATAAATACGTTGCTTGTACCACTAATACCCCCATGATTGTACGACAAATTAGAGGCAGTCCTAGTTAGACACTGCTCTGATTAGAAAAAGAGGTTTGGTGAATAGGTTTCTGGAACGTGCGAGTTTGAGTCTTGAATTTTCTACTCCGGAAAATGTAGACCTTGTGTAATTGGGCAAAGGGTGCGTACGCACCCGTCGCACCCCTTGCGTACGGGCCTGGAGTAGTTGTGTGCGACAAACCGATTCCAAACTTAGGAGGATGACTGTGCGACACATACACTTTGAACTGTCACTTTCACGAACATGGTATAGGCCTATGCCATATTTTCATAATAATGATATCAATAAAACCACGAACGGAGTGTTACCTTACATCCCTAATATCACTAAAAAGTAGGAGGATTATTTCAGACAAGAATAAATATATATAACAAAGTAAAAGAACATTTCGAAGGTATAGTTTAATTTTTTTTTTTTTAACTTTACTCCTTTTGTTTACAGAAAACAAAACACAAGTCAAAAACTCAACTTCCGAAAATTGTGAAACGTTTTCTAAAGAAATAAATCACTCACAAAATTGTAAACAAAGTAATTTTAAATACAACTTTCTACATCGTTTAAAAAGTCATACAGCTTTACTTACCTGTACAATCAATTATCATTTTTGAATTGAAAACAATATGAAACGGGAATAGATCCAACAGTAGACTAGATCGTACAGACGCTCGAATTCCTTTTTCGAACGCATGATCCAAAGGTTCACAGAATTCCTTGTTGTCGAATGTCAGTCGAAAAATTACATTGAAAGTATTATTGTTTGTGCACTTTTTTAAAACTTTAACATCCACATCTACATCATAGAATCGACGTCCAACTTCTTTTAACTGACCTATCACAGTGAAAGAAAATATAAATCAACTATATAATCATAAATGCAACGGTAAATGTACAAGTCTATGAAGCACGATTTTTTAAAAACACTGCATATCTGACAACTAAAAAATAACTGAACGCGGTAACATGCAACATGCAACATGTTTTAGTGGTCATGATTTTAGCGTTATAATCTATATATAATTTCTCTTTTTGCAGAGTTTTTGCCACACACCATCTTTTATTTTTGGTCAACGTACTTTTAAGTTATATCTTAAATATATTATTATTAAATAAATAAAGCTTTTGATTGAATAATTGTTTTTTTTTTCTTTTATCGAAAGTAATCGCGACGTTTACATACTACAGGGTAAGCGAGCGTACCATCATACAAAAATTATTAGATAATAGAAAGAACGAGGGAAAGAAGATGGACCACCGGTGGTATCATAAGCTTTATGGTTCAATAAACAAAATACGTTCACTGTATGCTTAAAGCAAGCCCTGGCATTTATTAAACCATAGAGCAAACCATCTTTGCTCTATGATTAAACCATAGAGTTGCTCTATGATTAAACTTAAGTAGTGTAAAGAACAGTAAATACCGTAATACGATCAATATTTACAGGCCTAGCGCGTCCTCTATCGATTTTGCCATGTGTAGGAAAGTAAAATCGGCTCTGAAGAAAGATTGTTTGTTTGTTTGCTTGTTTGTTTTTTTGTTTAAATTTAAATTGTCTTTGTTGCAATCATAAGTAACAGATTACATGGAAAAAAAAGAAAGAAAAACCGCGAAGGTTAAGGGTGGTGGGGGGGGGGGGCTCCATGATTAAGTTAGAGGGCGTACGAGTACGGCCGGGATGTAGTCTGCCACGTTTCGGCATGATTTGGATTCTAAAAGATATTTACCTTTCTTTGATGATAAATAATAATAATAATTTTTCTCAAATATACACATAATCCATCAAAAACACAAGCTTTTTGCCCGTTTAAAAAGACATGTTAAATTGTAAGGCTTCGAAAATTACAAACGAGTTATAAACATGTTAAAACACTCAATCTAATGTTTTTATGGTAAAATAATTTGATGGATAAAAAGATATCTTGAAAACATTTTGGTCTTATGTTAGATCAAAGTTCACTCATGTCAACACTCAATTTAATGCAAACGGATTAATGTGAACTAATTCATCTACCGCAATATTTCGTAGCTTTTTAGTGATATATACAGTATTTTCTTCGTACTTCACCTGTCTGAAAATAACTCATATGTCAATACAGCAACAAGTCTGTTTACCCCATTTTACAAATTTGTATGTTCACTCTGATCGTTGTTTAAATGCATTGGGTCAATGAAAACATTATGAACACAATTTATGTGACGACGTTAAGATGGTCGGTGATTGCGACTGAGGATTTTAACCGTAAGGTCGGGGGCTCAAAAACCCACGCTCACTCTGTACTACGAGTGTTTCCGTCTCCTCACAGGAGTAAAATTAACAAAGATACGAATGTTCTACATAATCATGGCCAGGCCCAGTGCTGCATAAGCCTATTCATCTACGACTAGGACTATAAATAATTCACTGGAAGGAAACGAAGCTGCATATTGATCGGGGTAATAATGCGATGCTCATCATAAAGTGCTATCCATAATAAATTGCATTAATTAATAATTAATTAGTTAATTAATCGTAATAATTAATTAGTTGGTTAATCGTAATGTTGGATACGAAGAACACGCGTTACTACTATCGACGACAGAGATTAATCTATGGAGTTTCTTCCTGTATACATATACCAAAATTAAGATTAATTACAAATAAGCTTCTGAGCTCAACTTTTATTGATGTGGAGCTATAGCTAATTGTTAGTTAATTTGCTTGCTTTCCAATCCCAGGGTCATGGGTTCAAATCCTCATAAGATACTTGTTTATAAAACATCATTCCATCCTTGTATTGGCAAGTTACTTGCTGTTAAAAGTGAAGGAAATTAACCCAACGTCTGGTCTCGTCACTTGATGTTGTATTGCTATTGTTCTACCAGCTAGTAATTTGACGTTATAATAACGTTACATTAACGTTACAATTTGGTGCCCTGAACTTTACATACCACTTATATACCGTTGTTAACTTTGTATTTTGTGTTAACGTCATTTTCTGACATAACCACAAATCTTATAAATAACTGTCTTGTGTTTGCTGGGCTGTTAGTTTATGCAAGAAACATACTTTAATTAGAAAGTGAAAACAAACTATTCATTGATAAATTTGTTGTACAGTATGTTGTTTAATTGTCATATTTTAAATATATCTTGAATTGCTCGGACATAACTAATAATATCTTGCTTCCTGCACACTGACAATTCAATACGCTTCCGTCGACTTTCATCGTAATTGAAGCTATTTTACAAAGTAGGCATTAGGAAAATTCCCATTCTCCTAAATATCACTACGTTCAAATCAAAATCCTACGGTAATGAGAAATTTGAAAGGAGATTAAAATTCGCATCGTGTATTATTAATGGTAGCCAAGTTAAAAATACGTCATTTGTAGCGACTTACTAGATAAAGAAGCGTGGTATGGAAGGTGAGCATTAGTTACATTCGTAGTTAATTCCCATATTAACAATTTCTTGGTTATTGAATTGGAAACATGTTTTCAGTAATATATTTTTTCCATTTCACACTTCCATACGTATCTACACTTATCTGATTATTAGAATGTGCCCTCGAAGAATCCACACACCAGAATACCACTCATATATCTGTCTCTTATACACATCTTATACAGTATTTTCTTCGTAGCATAGTAGTATGTATAGGCCTACATTTTTCTGCCCAGCAACGGTCACTGTCGGCAAGCAATGAACATTATAATGGGTAGTAACGGACATTATAGCAGTGTAGCGGGCGCAAGTGAAAATTTTTTGCCACAAGAATCAGAAAATTGGGATAAATTTAAATAATGATGCCACGATTGACTATAGATAAACTTATTATATACCTGTACGAAAAATACGATTGACGTTCACTAAACACACATTCAGGGTGGTTTTTTTAAGTGTTCTAAATAAGGAATTGACTTTTGGTAAATGAATTCGCCTCTACTATGGAATGTAAACAGTAATCCATTTACCGGAGTGTCAAAAATTTGATAATTCTCTTGATGTGTGAGTGGTACAAAGGTTATCAAAACAGAAGTAAAATTCAACTAAGGTATGTGTGATCATGTAGGAGAGAAGAACAATTTCTCAATCACAATCTTAAGACACTACTTACCCACCACGTAGTACATGTACCCCTGTCTTCTTGTCCGATAGTGCAGAGTAAGTCCAGACGAAGTTTCTTCTGTACAGAAGAAGCTAGGAGGTTTTAATTTAGGATAGCTAAATCGCATATATTCATGTAGATTGTCTAAACCGTTGACAAAATCTCCGAGATTTCGTCCTAGACACCTCAACAGTGGTCCATACTCATACCTGCTAACAAATTCAACGAAAGAATGCCCTACCATGTCCATAAACTCCTCTTCGGTGCAGCCTATAACTTCGGAGGCTACGCGAGCCAAACGTGGAACTATTTTTTCACTATAGACCCGATGAGTTACAAACATGTATTCACATATTCGGGCTCGATCGCGAATTTTCAACCACACCTCCTCCCCGTAGTTAGATTTTATTCTCTCACACATATTTTCTATAATGATGCCGTACATATTGACTGAACATGTGGTAGGTCTGACAATGTTGTATAGTGACAATAATATCAAGTAAGTTCACACAATAGCTATATCAGAAAAGCGGAAGAACTCCTTCCGTTGAAACAAGTACAGTAACATGCATAGGTTAAGCTTGTAACAAACATAGGTTAAGCTTCAGTAATATACATACTGCTTCAATAATCATATCATTTCGAACTTATATCCGTTACGGCTTCTTAGAGGTCTCCTCGATTGGGATAAAATCAACCTTGCACATGAAATTGCTCCGTAGTATATTCGGGATAATACGAAAGGAAATCCGATAGAACATGAACAATTAGTATAGTCGCGTGCGCCTATTCGTTTGACACTTTTTCGGACGTAGATTTGTATTGGATAAAATATACATGATGTCACCATAAACCGCACCGCCCCTTGAGCGAAATATCCTGAATTGAAGGAGAATGCTGAGTATCAATAGAGAGCTGAGAGTGAATGATATCAGCAAGCAAGTCTCCATACTCATTGAACTTTGCAATTGGTGGCGCCAACATAAATTGCGTATTCTGGAAAATAGATTTGGACAGTGTCTTTTACAAGACTACAATATCAAGGTCCTAATAATGATAATATTAATTATAATACACTTTTTTAATAAAATATTTTATAAAAACATTGAGGCTGAAATTGCTTTTAAGAACAAAATAAGAACAAATTGAGGCTGAGGTAAAATGTCAAATGGGGTTTTTTTTCTTCAATAGAAAAAACCAACAAGTCCTATCTATACCTTATTTGCATTAGGTGCGACTATGTAATACCCTCTATACAGTACAGTTATAATATACGGCTGTAGATAATAATTTTCTATGTTTGAAAAGTGTGTAAAATAAGAAAAAATAAGAGCTTGAAATCGGCAAAAAAATAAGAACACTGAGCCTGGGCAAATTTTGCTGGTTCTTAAAATAAAAACAAAAAACAAAAAGTGTGTCAGAGTACTGGTAGTGGAGTGGTAATGATAGCGACACTAAAAGTGGTCTTTAAATATCTGTTGAGAGGGAAATTTTATTAGTAGGCCTACATGTAAGATTGTTTTATTCCAAGTATTTTTTTTTAAATGGATGTACAGTTACTGTACGCTATTGATTCTTAATACACCATTTCCCGGTAGCCACACATCAAGTCCTGCGCTCGTTCTACCCAAAACACCATTATAATATTACTAACAACACCGTCAACACAAACAGCACTATCTACAAAACATCATCTTATGTTGCGCATTATTTTGATGTGCTATCGCGGTGGTGACAAATATTGGTATGATTAGTATTATTAATAATCCATACAGATTAAACAAATAAAAACGATCGACAGCGGAAGTGATAATCACGAGGAAAAAAACAACTACAGAAGAAAAAACAAATAATTTATAGAATAGTTAAGAACAATTCTAGATCACGCAAGGCCTCCGTCTAAGTAACATCAAAACAGAACGATAACATTACTCAATTGCTTCTGCCGATATATCGCCAACATTCAACATATCGATATTTATCACCACTTGATCTATTCTATTATTGTAATTCAGATTCGTTCGAAAGTCGTAAATACTCATCAAGTGGTAGGTTGCTTAAGGCAGTAACTTCTAATACAAATCTTTGATTACACCTGGCTTTTTAGAAGCAGCTGAGGTAATGTTGCAAGATGACAGATTATTACAGAACTAACAACGGTACATTTTAATAACAGGTAGGAAGGTAAATTATGTAATGGTTGTTTGCGAACTTGATTTATTTTAAATGTGTATTGAGAGAATCGATGATAATGTTTGTTTTCCGTACCTGACACGAGTGCAAGACCGGAGGGAGGAAATAAATAAATAGAGGTCGCGGAAAAGTAACAGAATATTATTACGACGTCAGGAAAATATCATAGGAGTGATATTTTGCCCTACCTGACGTGTTATCGTACCGAATACTCAGTACGTCCCCAAATACTACTTTCACACACTAAATATGTGAAAGGCTTAATAATTATTATTGTGATAATTCAATTATTGAGAATAAAGTCAGAAATAAAACTTGCATCTGACTTCAAAGATTAACTAACTGTATTACTAATTAACGTTCTATTAGGTCCTTGAACTCATATTCGACTATGTCTTTTAATGGAGATGCAATAAAATGCATTTAAATATAAACCTCGTTATCTTCTTGATCGTTTTCACTGGAGAGAATGTCAACATTTTAATTAAAAATTGGGGGAGTTGGGCTTACATTTGTGATGGTCGAAATAAAGCTGAGAATTACATGCTATTACCGGTACCACCAATCGACCCTATAAGCGTACGCCACATAGTTATGTCTGACGTATCTCTCCCAGGTATGAACATAATCTAGTTGGTATGGTAACCGTTGGTTAGCAACTCATTAGAGAACAGATAGGTAGAAAACCCTGGATATTTATATACCGAATCAGCTGATGAGATCCAATATAGACACACAGTAGTCGTATATTTATTATTTAGGTCAAAGGTGTGACTCAGTTGGTCGTAAGATTGTGCCGGCTGTCACGTTGCCCCTTATTGTCACCAGTTCCATGTTCTCCCCTTTGGATATAAATAAAATGTCATCACCTATTGGAAAGATTTATTTCCTAATTGTCTGGCGATATTCGTTTATCGTCTGTTTTTAAATACTCGGGTGTGATTGGGTAATAAGCAGCAGCTGATTGAATTCTTTTCACGTCTGTATGAATAATTATAAATTACTAATAATTAAAATACAATAGTACCGTATATAATTATCACACAATTACCACCCATTTTTAAAACACAATACCAATGATTATCACATTCTCAACAAATTACTATAATATTATAATTCTCAACAATTACAAAAACCAAGTGTCTACAAGATAAAAATCAGACGCTTTGTAAATATCTGTCCAATTTGTATGTGACAAATAAATGTGATATGCTCATATTTGGGTGTAATATGACATCGTCAGGCCCATATATGGGCACATCATACAAATTTTTCACATAATATTTGAGAGTTGACGTAGCACTGACGGATCGAGAAACAGGAATGAGTCCAGAAATTTCAACAGAGGCCAACATTTTCTTAAGCTTTGTCTACACTATCAGATTTCATCAAAAAAGTGTCACATAAAATGTGATAAAATAATATCATAAAAATACATCGTGTGTGATGTATTTTGGTGAAACTGAATTATCAAATCCGATTGTTGATTGGTGTGATTTGTAGTGTTTGCTCATTGGCCAAAAGGTGTTTTCTAAAAAAAATGACAGACATAAAAAGTTTTTCTGATACAACTTGTAATTATGTGATATGATGTCATTGTGTCCATATATGGACATATCACATTTTTTTGTCACAAAAAAAATGTATAGTGTAGACAGAGCTTTACAACATAACAGGAGGGTGGCCTGAAGCTCTGTCCAGATAATCAAATTTTCTTTGACAAAAAAAACTGCTTTATGCCCATATATAGGCATGATATGTGCCTATATATGGTCATGATATGATGTCATCATGACCATATTAAGGCATGTCATATGTTTTTATCCAATAAAATTTGATAGTATGGACAGGGCCTTAGATAGGGCCTATTATTGCTAAGTTACTACAAAACGTACGTAAAATTTACATGTTTAGCGTGTTTTTGTGGTACATGTGCGTATTCCCGGCCCTGTTCTCATTTGTCAGATTTTTAAGTGTTGATTGACACCCTGGAAGGACCATTAACATCATGTATAGTATACTTAACATTTATTGTACTTGCTACTTGTGTTGACGGCAATTAAATACATTTTCTAGCCACTTTTATGATTATAGAGTAGGCATATCAAGTTAACCGGCAGCAGACAGACACAGAAAAAAATCACATCACAACATTGTAATTGAATTGTAATAAATATTTTCATTATTTCATCTTTGTTTACATCGGGAATGAATAAATTTCGAATTATTTTATTGTATTTTAAATACTACTTTTATCAATACCATTTTATGTTTATTTTCATTGTTTTTATAACGGCGTGACGTTTTATACAGTGAAGTGGTCAATTTAAAAAAAATGTACAAAGGTATGATTCACTAAGTTCCTTTTTTTGGACACTTGAGTGCTAGGCCCTCTTTTCGGCCATTGTAAAATCCATCATCACCACCACTCCGAATCCGTTTACCTAAGTCATTGACGCACCAACACCTGTTAAAAAACAAAGATAATCACATTACTGTACTGCAGCTTTGCAAAATATATTTTATGCCTAAAAGTGGTACGCGATGAGTGCATGCTTGCACATACAAATTTCAAAATTGGAATCGTGCACAATAGATATTTCCGCTAAGCCTCGCCTCTTTGATATTTTTGCTAAGGTGTAGGGAATTTTAAACAGCATAAGCCTACGTAAACTTGTGTTTGTGGGACATGCGCGTATAACAGCGATTAAATAGCACGTTCTGATTGGTCAGTTTGATTGGCACTGCAAAAAGGTGTAGCCTCTATAGGCCTATATTAACGGTGACGTAAACTTGCAATTCATAAGCATATGTTTTATACAGAGTGTTGTACTTCATTATCATTATAAACATTTCCGTACTAAACAACCGACCAATCAGAACAGGTCGGCGAGGATCACGCACTTGCCCACAAACGACCTTAGCTACAGCATAAGGTTGTACAACAATATAGTACCGGTTTTAAACTGCGTAAATTCACTATCAAAATTAGTGCCGTGCGATATCAAACAAAACTGTTAGGCGTACACTGATACAATTCGTCGTTAAAAAGAAAACCGACCAAGAAGTTATGACTTTAGTATGATCGTCGATAAAACATTTCTTTCGTGTCATTGTTTCATTAAATGACTAAATGTTGATATACCGGCTGGACTGATGTAAAGTATTTTTTTTCTTTAAATTCAACAATGACAGCATGTACAGAAGCCGCAATGGCTTGTTTTTTTTTTTTTACATATTGGGACTAAACCATTTAGGACTACATTACATACAAGAAAATAAAAAAATTCAACTATAAGAAAACAAAATGTATTATACAGCCAATGATCTAAGCCAACCAGGGAAAAGCGGGCACATACCCTCTCCAATCAACACAACGTTGTATAAAAGGTGAACACATTCGGACCGCGTTTCCGATGCGCTGAAAGAAATGGGCCTACTCGTACTGATTCGATTATTTGATCGGTTCTTCGTTCAGAGGCCTGTTTTCCACTAGGCGAATTAATCGAAAGCGTCGGTTCGCTTCCTGTGCTGATTGGCTGCTCATTCTTTCGCTTCGCAAAAAGTAGAAACAGTTCGAACTCCTATGGTTTTGCTGAAGCGAAAAATTCCGATATAAATTTAAATGCGCATAAATTCGGCTAGTGGAAAGCAAGCTTTAAAAGTTATTTTCCACTAAAATTTTAAGTTTTACCACCCATACGCAGGCGCAATTGAGAATCTGGTAATGGAAATTAAACTGCGCATGCGTATAGGCCAAAACTTTCGATTCGCGCGAATAAATTCGTCTAGTAGTAGAATACATGACGATCCGTTTACCGACAATCAGCAGATGGCGTCTTGTCATCATCTATCATTAGGTTCGTCGGATTTAGGGGCGGATCTAGGTTCACATTTAGGGGGAGGGGGCGGGCAACTTTTTTTCATAAAAACGCCCAAAAAAAGGGGGGGGGGTTGGGTGTCTTCCCCCGGGAAAAATTTGATCACTAGATGGCAGAAAATGAGCTTTCCCGACTTCTGAGGTGACTTTTAATGACTTTTAAGTTTTTTAAATTTTAAGGTTTTCCTGCGCTTGAAAACGGTCAGGTAAACTTTTCATTCTTATTACTGTAAATACTAGTAGCCCTACTATGTGTGTATGTACAGTACATAACTAAGTCGCTGCATACATGTTTTTTTTTTCAATAAATCGATAAATCCAAAATAAGACGGGGGTCGGGAGTCCTCCCCGGGAAAATTTTGGTTCTTAGATGGTGAGAAATGAGTTTTCCGAACTTCTGAAGTGTCTTTTATTCAAAATTCAAGGTTCTCCCCTTTGTAAACGGTCAGGTAATTTTTTATCATTCTTATTACAGTAAATAGGGCTATGTGTGTACCGGTACGCAGAGAATTTACTTTTTTAATTTTTAATTAAAAAAAAAAAATTTTCCACGACGCAGTGAGTGCCATGCTTTATATTGTGAAAAAAACAAAAACAAAATAAAAACAAACAAACAAAAAAACATGAGCAACAACGATCGTTGTGATTAGTAATTAGGCAGAAAACACGAACCTATTATTGGTACACTGTTTGGGGGAAAACTTGCCGTCGTCGGTGCAGCTGAGTTGGAATTTCACTCCTGATGATTTCAATGCATTCAACCAGCAATTCTTAGCGGCATTGTCTCTCTTTAAGTACTCTGAAATAGTTAATATAACATAAGCAAAACAAAATGGACAGGAGGATTGTTTGGCAATATGGTTTGACGAGTTACATCGAGCTTTAATAATAATACTATCTATTGACCTATTATTTTATTAATAAGTCCACGATAATACTAATAAATAATGTTGCCAAAAGCAATTACATGGAGATCACAAATTCCGCCCGGAAATGTGACAATGCACACGCCGCGCGCGATGGATTGAGTGGGTTTTCAGGGAAACTAGTGGTCAAAAACGGAGCACTGGCTTTTTTTTCCAGGAACAATTTTCTTTTTGTTTTTTTTTTTTGTGATAGGCCGGCACGTTCTGAACTTGTAACTCGCCGCAGGTGCCATGCGCGTGTCAAACTTAGTATGAATGAACACACGTCAGGTTGGTCAAATCTACACCACCGGGCCGTGAAGTTTTGTTATACATTATTATTATTATTATTGGTCGTCAAGATCACTTCACGCGAAAGCCTGGCCTAGGGCCTAGGCCTAGTGTACTAGCCTAGCTAGTAAAACACAAGCAATTTTATTTAGGCCAAGCTTACTTCTTTCATAATATGCCCGCAGACTATCCATTTGCCGTCCAGTAAGTTTCGCTTTGATCCTATCATTTTGTAGAATTGCAAGAAATTTCTTCCTTTTGTTGACCTTTCCCCTTGCACTAGAAAATGCCAATAAAACGATGAATACACTTAAAACTCTAAAAAAATACATGTTTGATTGCAACAATTATAACCAGACGCGCATTTAGGCCTAAATGTGTTAAAATGATTTAAAATAAAATATAAAATTCCAATCGTATTCGATCAACACGCGGGTGTTGTTTTTGCTGTTGAAGGCGGTGCGCTCCATTCCTATTACAACACTATGGTTACGATGTGCGCACACTACTGATCTCTCTTGGTGCACACCGACCGGGGCCCCCAAAGGGGTTTAGGGGCCGGAGGCCCCGGGAAAAAATTGCTATTTTCCATTGTATACACCAATTTTAATGATGTTCTGCAGTAGTAATTTAATACATAGGCCCTAGTTTAGAAAAATATTTTTTAAAAGTTTATAAAAAGATGTTTTAACCTAACATCTGGGCTATGATGAAGCAAAACAATAAAATACTCTGAATTCAAAAGAAGAGGTTATTCAAGAGAAAGCTTGTTACTCACAGCATTGTTGTTATTTTAGTATTTTGCCTTTTGACATTGACAAAATTCTAAGATTAAACCTATGAACAAAAAATAATATTGCTATGGTACACTTTCAATCAATACATGCAGGGCGGATCCAGACCTTCACACCGTTCGCCATGGCGAAAGTCAGGGTGAGAGATAAAAGGATATTTAAAAAAATATAATAATTAATATTACTATTAATTAAAAGGGACTCTAATTTAATCGGCTGAGCGATATAATGTTAAGTATTTTTATTTATTCATTATTTTTTAAATTTTATTGATTGACATGTAACGATGTATGGTTAATAAAAAAAACCATCACATGGAGAGTATACATGTGCGTTAATTCTTATAACCTTTTTGGAAAGGCATATATAATTTTATTATATTTTGTTATTTTAAAATTACAAAAGACAATTGTGCATATTTCATTAATTTCCTGGTGGAAGTAAAATCACACCAATCAAGTTTGTTTTTGGTCAGAGTATAATTGTTAAAAGAATTACATTATTCTGTGCTTCTTTTAAGAGTAAGTTATATTATGACCAAGTTGTTATCATATATGAATTCTAAACTGTAATATTATTAACAAGACCAATCAACACATGACATAAAACATGTACATATCAAAATTATTAGACCTATGTTTGAACTTTCCTCGTCGGTGCGTGCATAAACGTAATGTCTTGGAATTTGGATCTAATATGCGTATAATGATATTGATAAACAATCGCAATTCCCTGTACTATATTATGCTAAACATGTACAGAAGTGGACTTCCTCATTCTGTGGTCATATTGAACTGTAATATTATTATCATTAAAGAAGTCCATTCAACAAACAACATAAAACATATCAAAGTTATTAGGTTAAAGTTCTCACGTCGGTGCATGCATAAATATAGGGGCTACCTGAGATTGACCGTCAATCAAAATTTTCTGTGTATCTATGCTTTAAAGACTAAACGTCCTTATGATTTAAGGAAATATATATGTATTATTGAGCTACGCAAAGTTTAGAAGCTTAGAAGTTTAAAAGTTAAAAGAGATGACTTCCTTATGCGTAGTCATATCAGACTGTATTATCATTAAAGTCCATTCAACAAACAACATAAAACATATCAAAATTGTTAGGTTAAACTTTCCACTTCGGTGAATGAATATAATTTTTGGGACATACGGTATTTGATTTGCATGACATTTTGAGAATGTACTGGATATAAAATCTTAAATATTTTAAATTTTAATCAGTAATCTATTAGAAGTACTCAGATTGGTTATACTGTAAACCCTTCGGAACCCCGAAGGCAAACCATTTTGATTTAGCGTAGATCTATTTTACATGTTTTTATTTTATTTTATTGGTATCCTTTTTTTGTACGATTCATTTGTTATATTTTCCACAGACAGATAAATGAATGCCTGAACTGATATTTTATGGGTTACATATTACTTTCTATACAAAAGAGATATCATAAATTATATAACTATATTGTCCGACTGTGTGCATTGAACATTTGACGACGACGATAATGTCGCCAAATTCCCAACCGTAACTCAGGCTACGGGCGTCGTTTGACACGTCACACCAAAGGGCCTGTTAACTAATCTTGCACAGGAGCCTGTCATCACCAGCTTCCTCCTCCTCATCACCTTCTTCATCATCATAATTATTAATTGTCCATAGTAAAGTAGGGAAAAAACTATGAATTCAGAGTGTATTCAATAACAGACGTCTCATAATGCACGAAAGCCTCTAGTAAACAAAAACTTTTCGAAGGAGGAGTCGAAGACTCCCCCCACCCCATGCCTATCTAAAATTTGTCTTCCCGCGACAGAACAAGCTCTCTTCTTATGACTTCGCCCACCATGGGAACCCATTTGTGCGATAGTCAGGGTAAACTCTGGATATATTGTATTTAAGAGAAGTGCTTTAAAAAAAGGTATAGGCCCTAGCTATTTACAATATTCATTTATAAAAAATAATGTTGCATACTAGAACTATCAGGAATAAATATACCAGGGGTGGCGCCAGGACTTGGCCGACCGGGGTGGGGGGCGAGGGCGAATCCCCCGACGAGGGGTCAGATTTCCTCGACGAAAGCAAAGTGGGCGTGGTCGAGCTTCGATTAAAAGGCTTCGAAAGTGGTCCAGGGGGCGAAGCCCCCGAAAATTTTGACAATTTAGGGGTTTCAAAGGCTTATTTAACCGATTTTAGAGTCTATTAATAATATGTAGAAAATAGGCCTACATATAATTGTTTTTTCTCAGCGACGAATTGTGCTTTTCTCCCCGACGGGGGCCAGAAATAATACAGATAAAGTTTTCAACCGTACCGCGTGGCTACGGCCCTGACACTGCGTGAGACCGGTACGCAAGTGCGACCAATCCTTTTGCACCAACGGTGCAAACACTACATGCCCATAGGATTTTGTGTAAAATCGAAATAAAACGAAAACCTCCTTTTACGCTGCACAGTAAAAGCATAGCCTCTCCCACGGTGTGATTTTTCTCTGAGAATTGATAAGTAAGAATTTGAAACCAGTCAGTCTTACCAAACTTTAGTTATCATATGGTAAGAAACAATTTATTACGCGCCGACGACGACAACATCATGAAGAAGAAATACAGTAGGACCCCTAAAAACGTGAAATTGTCCTCTTAGCAGGGGTTTCTGACTTGTTTCCAATTTTATTTTCAATGACATACGAATCAGCTACAGTAGAATTATAATAATAGTAATAATTTGCAATGCAAATACAATTTATTCCTAATATGAAAATGTAATTAAAACAACAATAGGTTTATGTTCCCAATAGTATTTCATGATGCAATATTAATGACCAATTTCATTTTTTTTATATTGAGCTTTCTATTGGATGGATGTAGCATGAAACGAATTAGAATTAATGGTGCATGTTATGGTATGGATTAGAATCCAAGATCCTATATACAAGTACAGTACATGAAAAGAAAAGGAAATATATACCCATGTCTGGTTGACGGGACAAAATTGGCAACTCATGCTGTATGCCTATACCGAAGGATTCAAGAGAGAACATTCTGGTTTATTGCTCAAAAGGTGTTAAAATATAAAATTGAATGATTTTTTCTTATTTTGAGACTGCTGCAGCAGTTGTGATACAATTATATTAATGATACAAAATAATAAGTGTCCCCCTAATAGGGGTTATGTGAAAATTTGGCACACTCAGAAAGTGTCGCCCCGTCCCCTTAACAGGGGTGTCCCAAAGGAGGGGTTCTAATGTATTACGATTTTTTCAACTAAATTAAATGGTATTTAGCATAAATTTCCTGTTTTGTGAAGTATTATTATGCAAATAATCAATTAGCATATTCACACACGTACCGTACTGTACCAAAACAATAGACCCTCGTTATTACCATATTGCATTAATTCAATGATTCGATTGCCTCTGTTCCCACTTCGAGCGCGCGAAAATTCGAAATGGCGGGTGACAACAGAGAATAGATGATATGAGACTAATTTGTTATCGTTAATATACGGAGGAAAAGGGCTGTGAGACGAAATCTAAAAAATACTGGATTAGCATTCCCAGAACTCCAAAATGAATCAAAAGAGTGATTATAAGTATACTTCTTTTTAGTCCATTTTTATTCAGGCCTAGCTAGGCCTCCTAAGGGTACTAAATAATTGGCCTAGCCTTCCCTAGGTCTATAGTATCAACACCAGATAGGCGTAGAATGAATAGGCTTAATAATGCTAGAAAGAGGAGGCCAGGAGCGGATCAAGACATCTGCAGGAGGGGGAGTCAAGAAAAAGGGTATGCACTCGATTTCACTGTTTCAAACGACGGTGTGGCTCAGTTGGTCGTAAGATTGCGCCAGCGCTGCCGGCTGTCACGTTGGTGTCACCCGTTCCATGTTCTCCCCGTTGATAGGCCTGTAATACAATTTCAACATCTGAGGCCTATTGGAAAGATTTATTTCCTAATTGTTTGGTGATATTCGTTTATCGTCTGTTTTTAAATACTCGGGTGTGATTGGGTAATGAGCAGCAGCCAATGGAATTCTTTTTCACACAATGTCTGTATGAATAATTATAAATAACTAATAATTAAAATACAATTAGTACCGTATATAATTATCACACAATTACCACCCATTTTAAAACACAATAATATCAACGATTATCACATTCTCAACAATTGCATAATAATTGTTATATTTCTTACAACATAACAGGAGGGTGACCTTAGATATATTATTGCTAAGTTAAAAGGACGGCGTAAACGTACGTAAAATTTACGTGTTTAGTTTGTTTTTGTGGGACATTTCCGGCCCTGTCCAGATTTGTTAGATATTCAGTTTGATTGACACCCTGGAAGGACCATTAAAATCCTGTACAGTACATACATTTATTATACTTGCTACTTGTTCTGACGGGAAAAAATCAATAAAATAAAAATACATTTTCTAGCCACTTTTTATGATTAAAGAGTAGGCCGGCATATCAAGTTAACCGGCAGCAGACAGACGCAGAATAAATCACATCACAGCATATTTGTAATTCAATTGTACTAAATATTTCCATTATTTCATCATTGTGTACATCGAGAATAATTTTCTAATTATTTTATTGTATTTTAAATAATAATTTTATCAATTACCATTTTATATTTTTATTGTTTTTATAACGGCGTGACGTCTTATATACAGTAGAATGTTCAATTTAAAAAAAATGTAGTGTAGACTTAACAAAGAATGGTATGATTAACTAAGTTCTATTTGTGGGGCACTTGAGTGCTAGGCCCTCTCTTCGGCCATTGTAAAATCCATCATCACCACCACTCCGAATCCGTATACCTACGTCATTGACGCACCAACACCTGTTAAAAAACAAAAAGAATGACATTACTGAATGCATAATTGTAACATTTCCGGACTAAACAGCCCACCAATCAAAACACGTCGGCGAGAAACACGCACTTGCCCTCAAACGGAAGTATTTACGTA